TAGACGGGGATAAGGACCGGGATGATGATGTGAAGGCTTCAGGAGCCAGGCTTCACTGCATTTTTGTGCCAGTCGCTGCCTCTCAGCTGACCCTACCTCACAGGGTTGTTGTGGGGAGTAACTGAGGAGTGGGAGACCCATTAACACCATCTTGAGCTCCTTGGAGAGGAAGGTGAAGACATAAACACTATATAAACAATACTACGCAAGCGACTCAGTCTCGATAGCTCAGCAGGTTAGAGCATGGGGCCGATAATGCCAAGGTTACAGGTTTGATCCCCGTATGGGGCAGCTGCAGATTCCAGTATTGCAGGGGGTTGGACTAGATGATCCTCAGGGTCCCTTCCAACTTGACAATTCTAGGATTCTATGAACTCAGTAAAGGCAGAATGTCATCTGGTCTCCGCTGTAAGCATCGCGCAAGCAAACCGGGATGGAGGTTGCCCGCTGTGAGAACAGGGTGCTGGACTAGTAGGGCTGCTGGCCTGATCCAGCCAGGCTCTTCTTATGAGAAGGGAGACCAAGCTAAGTAGAACCTCCATGCATAGGCACAGTCTACCTGCCACAGTCCCAGAAGGCTGGGAGTGGTGTGGTCTTCCCTAGCCTAGCGGCACCTGCCTCCCAAACACCTTGGGAAGTGCCAGGCTTGGGTCGGGTGACCCTTTCTTTGGTCCTACCTGGCAGGGCTCATTGCGGGGTGAAATGCGGCTGGACTGAGTGCAGAAGGCGATGGAGCAGTAACACCTCCCCCCCCCCCACACAAAAGAGGCTCTATTCTTTGTAACAGGCAGGAATGCGAAGGGCGAAGCCTCTGCTTGATGCGAGCCAGCCGTTTTCTCCCCAGGGGAAGTAAAAGTGGCAGGAGAAGTGGGGCGAGGAGCTGGGTTGGGGGCTGGGGTCGGGCGCCCCCCTTCCCCCTCGGTTCCAGCTTGCAGGGAGAAATGGGCTGGGGTTCGCAAGGGGAGGCAGCAGAGCCCCCTACCCCCAGGCCCTTTCCAGAGGCTCTGTTCAGCCGCTTCAACCACGCTGGCATCTCCAGAGGTTCCCTGGTTGAAACCCCGAAGAAGAAGTAGCGCGGGAAATATTGAGCTGGATGCAGCTTCCTCCGTTGCAACAGGCAGGAATCCCACCGGTCGAGCGTTCCCCGGCGGCGGGGAGGCAGGAATAGGGACCGCGGAGGCTGCATCGCTCCATCCTTCCAGCCTCCTCCTGCCCTCGGCGGCGGGCGGAGCGAAGCGTCCGCTGGGCGGAGGCTGCTGTGCCGTCCGGGCTGCGCTGGGCTGGCTCGTCCGCCGGCTCCTCCTCCTCCTCCTCCGCTGCTCCGCCGCCGCCTCCTCCTCCGCCGCCGCCCGAGGCTCCCTCCCCGGGCCCGGCGCCGTCCGCTGCCCGCCCGCGCAACGCTCCGCTCCGCCCGGCGCAGGTACGCCAAGCTGCCGCGCCTCGCGGGCGCCGCCATCGCCGTCGAGGGCGCAGCAGCGCCCGCTTGGGCTGCTCTCTCTGCGGGGCCGCGGACGCGGGTGGGGGGGGGAGGGAAGGGGTGGGGTGGGGGTTCCCAAAGCTGTGCGCGCCCCCTCCCACTTCCCCCTTTCTCCGTCTGCGTGGGGATTTTGGGGAGGGGGAAAGCTTGGGCGCTCCACCCCCCGGAAGGAGGATCCGGGAGGGGGAGTAAAAGGAGTTGGGGGGAGGGAGGAAACATGGGGCACCGCCCCCAAGGAGGATTTGGGAGGGGGGTTAAGAGAGAGGGGGGAGGAGTTGGGGCAGACACCCCCCTAGAAGGAAGATCTAGGAGGAGTTAGCGGAGTTGTTTTGGGGAGGGACTTTGGGCACCCCAAGGAGTGTCTGGGGACGGAAGGGAGTTGTTTTGGGGAAGATATGGGGCAGCCAGGGGGATTTGGGAGGGGGTGTGGTGTTAAGGGAATGCAGGAGGGGACCTGGGACAGCCCCCCCCATAAGGAGGACGTGGGAGGGGGAATTAAGGGAGTGGGGAGAGATTTAGGGCAGTCCCTCCTCAAAGGAGGACGAAGGAAGGTGAGTTAAGGGACGAAATATGGGCACCGGGATTTAAGGTGCTGAGGGGTTGTCTGCCCTTTTGGGATCCGGGGAGGGGGCGCCCAAAGAGTCATGGGGGGCTGTGGCGGCTGCTGGCCCCCTTTGCAAGAGAATGTGGCCCCCTGGCTCAAGGAAGTGACCTAGCTTTGTGGCTGAGCACTTACCTTTTTCAACTTTCAACTTTCCCAAATGAAGGATGCTGAAAAGTTGTATCGCGACATATATTGTTGCAACGTGAGTTATAAAAGTTGCCATGTCAGTTATTTTTGTTTGTTTGTTTGTTTGTTATTGCTATTATTTAGCATCACCCGGCATTTTCAGAAGGCAAAATTAAAATTCTCTGGTTTCCCCCCCAAAAGCAGCTGATGTGCTTCTTCATCAGATGTAATATTGCCAAGCTAACTGTTGCCCAGTTGCAAAAATAACAGCAGATTTGAGTTCATCCCACACAAAAATGTATTTTAAAGAAATTGGCAAAAGTTAAGTTTATTCCCCTAAACGTGATACGCCTTGAGTGAAGAAGGCCCAGGTTGGACTGGGAAAGACCCCTAGATTGCAACCCTTATTTATTCCTAGAATCATAGAACTCTATGATTCTATGAGTTGGAAGGGACCCCAGGGGGTCATCCATTCTGACCCCCCTGCACTGCCGGAATCTCAGCTCAAGCATCCATGACAGAAGGCCACCCAACCTCTGCATAAAAATGTCCAAGGAAAGAGAGTCCACCATGTCCCAAGGGAGACTGTTCCACTGCCCAACAGTTCTTTCTGTCAGAAAGTTCTTCTGAAAGTTTAGTCAGAATCTCCTTTATTGTAACTTGAAGCCATGGGTTCGAGTCCTAGCCTTCCAGAGCAGGAAAATACAAGCATGCTCCCTCTTCCATGCGACAGCACTTGAGATATTTGATTTGTATACCGCCCTTTCGTCCAAAGATGCCATCATCCTCATAAAAATTGTAGAATTGCAGTACCCCCTGCAGTGCAGGAATATTCCTCTGTGGGGGATTGAACCCACAACCTTGACATGATCAGCCCCACAACGGAGCTAACTTCCTTGCACATAATAATAACAATAACAACAACAACATAAAAATAAATAAATAAATAATTTATTTATATCCCGCCCTCCCCATCCAGAGCCGGGCTCAGAGCGGCTAAGCACAGTAAAAATAGCACCATTTACATAAAATCACAGTCAATTAATTTAAACACATTCTAAAATCAATTCAGAATCAAATTAATGGCAACCATTGGGCTGGAGTTCTATGAGGAATACAGAAGGAGAGAGGGGGTCAGACTTTGCCTTGGCCAAAGGCCTGGTGGAACAGCTCCGTCTTGCAGGCCCTGCGGAAAGATGTCAAGTCCCGCAGGGCCCTACTCAGACAATAATAGTAATAGATAGCATAATAAAAATAATAATCATAATAACAGTCCCCTCAGCCATAACTTTAAAAGGACATAGATCATTTATTGGCCAAAGTCCTGGAGAAAGAGGATTTTTTTTCCCGCTTGGTGCCTAAAGACATGTAATGATGGCAACCAGGCGAGCCTCTGGGGAGAGCATTCCACAGTCAGGGAGCCACCACAGAGAAGGCCCTTTCTTATGTGGCCACTGTCCGAACCTCTTGAGATGCGGGGGGCATAGTGAAGGGTCACTGATGACAAGCGCAGGGTCCGGGTTGGTTCATATGGGGAGAGGCGGTCCTTGAGATAAAGTGGTCCTGAGTCACGTAAGGCTTTATAGGCCAGCACTGGAAACTAACCAAGTAGCCGGAAAACATTATTATCATGGCCGTGAAGGTTATTGTGATTATTGGGTCATGCATTCAGAATAGATGATGCTGAATTTGATAGGCCCTCGGAGGTCTGGCTCAGCCAAAGGGCCGTAGCAAAGCGGCAGGACATCTGCTTGGCTTGCAGAAGGTTTGTTCCCTGCTGGCATCTCCAGGTTGGACTGAGAGAAAGGCTCTGCCTGAAATAATAATAATTATTATTATTATTAATATTATTATTATTATTATTATTATTATTATTATTTATACCCTGCCCATCTGGCTGGGTTTCCCCAGCCACTCTGGGCGGCTTCCAACAGAATACAGTGGTACCTTGGGTTACATACGCTTCAGGTTACAGACCCTTCAGGTTACAGACGCTTCAGGTTACAGACTCCGCTAACCCAGAAATAGTGCTTCAGGTTAAGAACTTTGCTTCAGGTTGAGAACAGAAATCGTGCTCTGGCGGCACGGCAGCAGCAGGAGGCCCCATTAGCTAAAGTGGTGCTTCAGGTTAAGAACAGTTTCAGGTTAAGTACGGGCCTCCGGAACGAATTTAGTACTTAACCCTAGGTACCATTGTAGTAATAATAATAATAATAATAATAATAATAATAATTAATAATTAATAATAATATGTTTATACCCCGCCCATCTGGCTGGGTTTCCCCAGCCACTCTGGGCGGCTTCCAACAGAATATTAAAATACAATAGCCTATTAAACATTAAAAGCTTCAGATGTCTTCTAAAAGTCTGGTGGTTGTTTTTCTCTTTGACATCTGGCGGGAGGGCGTTCCACAGGGTGGGTGCCACCACCGAGAAGGCCCTCTGCCTGTTTCCCTGTAACTTGGCTTCTCGCGATGAGGGAACTGCCAGAAGGCCCTCAGAGCTGGACCTCAGTGTCCGGGCAGAACGATGGGGATGGAGACACTTCTTCAGGTATACTGGACCGAGGCCGTTTAGGACAGCCGCTGTCCATCGGTGTAGACAATACTGAGTTGGGTGAATTAATGGTTTGAGGCAGCTTCGTAGGCTATCCTCACCTGCGCAGAGTCAGGAGCAGAGACTGCCTTTCTCTTGGTTGCTGGGAGCGAATTGCAAAAAGGCTTGTGTTCATAAAAAGGCCTTCCTTTGCCTTCTCCTCTTCCCAGGCCTCGGCGGGTCGTGTTGGAGAAACGGGCCTGTGATAGCTCAGTTGGTAGAGCACAAGACTTTTAACCTCAAGGGTTGTGGGTTTGAGCCCCATGTTGGGTAAAAGACTTCTGCGCTGCACGGGGTTGGACTAGATGACCCCTGTGGTCCCTTCCAACTCTTCATTTCTACGATTTCTGTGAACACGTGGCTGAGCATTTCCTTTTCTTCATTTAGTAAATCGTATGTGCCACTGAATTGACGAAAGCCTCCAAGCGGTTCCTTTGCTTATTCTGATTTATTGCGTCTCTATCCCACCGTCTTGTCCAAGGAGCTCAAGGCAAACATACGTATTTCCCCCACAAACAACAACCCTGTGAGGTAGGATGGCTGAGAGAAGGCCGTGACCGGTCTCCCACCTAGTGTACTTCTTGGCTGAGTGGGGATTTGAACCCAGGTCTCAGCCTGACAACTGCAGCACACTGCCATCCGGTTTACACAGGAGGATACAAAATGTTTGTTAAACACTCCAACCCCAAACGTTGTCAAAAAAGAGGAGGTGTAAAAATAAATAAATATTGAAATATAAACCTGATCAGCAGCTTAGGAAAAAAAATATGCATGTACTGTAACAGAATGGCATGCTAAAGTTATGTGTCTGGGTTAGCTTGCCTAAATTAAATACATAAATACATAAATTATTTTGTCAGGCGCTGGAAAAAAATCTGCGCACGTGTGTAGCAATCTTTCAGCTGGGAACCTTTCACTCTTTGCTGCAAGAGCAGGACTCCTCACAGAACTCTAGCCCAATGGTTGCCATCAATTTGATTTGAACTGATTTTATAATGAATTGATTTTAGAATGCTGTATTATTTTACTGTTGTTAGCCGCTCTGAGCCCGGCTTCGGCGGGATATAAATTATTATTATTATTATTATTAATAATAATATTATTATTATTATTTTAGAGTTGGAAAGGGATCCCCAGGTGTCATCTAGCCCGACCCGCTTGCAAGGTAGCCACAACTTAAGCTCATATCTGGGTAAAGGGTGTGTTTTTGTGTGTGTGTGTGTGTGTGTGTGATAGTGCCCCTATCTGAGTTTAAGGGGGGATTTTTTTTCTGCATAGACTTGTGACCTCAAGGGCTCAAGAGACCTGCTTTTTGGGGTTTGTGGTGCGCTACCCAAGACTGCATAGCCACAAAGGGAGGAGTTTGCAAGGAGCTTGGTTGGGGCATCAGTTGTGGTGACCACAGATGTAGAGTTTGAAAGGTGCAGAAATCCTCGTCAGGCCTGGCTTATGGATGACACCAGGTGTGCCGAGCGCAGGTGGGCGATGCTTTTTGTAGGGTGGTGTGTGTGTGCAAACGAAAGGTTGTGGGCTCTCCATCTATTTGTGGCTGGAGAAGGACAACGGTTTGGTTTTTTCCGTTGCCTGTGGCGATCTCTCTCATCTCGACTGTGCCTCTGTCTTTCCTGGCCGACCAGTTTGGTGGCTTCTAACTTTGCAAAAAACCTCCGAAGTCTGTTTAGCGGAGATGAGGGAGGGATGAGTGTGTGAACCGCATCTAGCGATGCTTCATGTCAAGCCACTTATTCCCCCGAAATCTCTCTGCAGTCCTTGCAGCCGCTGGTGCGTGTATTGATATGCCACATCCGAAACACCCGGATGAGCCTCTGTTCAACCTGTTGAACGGTTCAGCTTGCCCCACTTGGAAACTGGGACTGGTAACTTTGCCAGCTGGAAATTGTGTCTGTCGAAGTGGCTGAGTCAGCAAGAGGCTATCTATGTGCAAATTGATGCCAGAGATGTGCAAACGTGACAAAAATGTGCAGGTCTATGACACATCGATGTGAAAGTGTGTGTGTGGGGGGGAGAGAAATCTCTGTTTTGAAATGCTGATCTCCTGATTGTTGTGGCGGGCCGATGCCCTAGTTCATTTGGCTTGCAAAATAATCTTATGGCACAACATCTCTCCGTGTCAATAATCTAAAAAGAGTGTGCTTGTTTTGTGTGCCTGTTAACTATATGGGGTGTGTGTGTCAAGCATTTCTGCTGAGCGAATGATACAGGGGCAGGTGTGCTTAGACAGGCAGAGGCTGCGCATGGCTAGGTCATGCCATGCCAATATGTGCAGCAGATATGAGCAGGGAATGGCCGTAGCTCAGTGCTGGAGGAACATCTGCCTGGCAGGTAGGACGTTGCAGGTTGAAGCCCCAATGGCATGTACAGATACAGCTGGGAGAGACTTCTGCTTGAAATCCTGGGGCGCTGCTGCCACTCAGTGTGGACAATCCTACGGTCAACTTGAGCACAGCACCCTGATCTCACAGTGGCCAACCCATTGCCTCTTGTTTTCTCCTACTTTGGAGGGTAGGACTCGAACCCATGGCTTCCAGTTGCAAGAAAGGAGATTCAGTGAGAGCTGTTCGACTGTGGAACGGTCTCCCTCGGGAGGTGGTGGACTCTCCTTCCCTCCTTTCCTTAAGCAGAGTTTGGATGGCCATCTGTCATTGATTTTTTTTTTAGCTGAGAATCCTGCATTGCAGGGGTTTGGACTGGATGGCCTTTGGGGTCCCTTCCAACTCCTAAGATTCTTCTGCAGGCAGGACCCAAGTACGATAGTGCACACCCAATGAGTGTTTCGTTGTTGTCATCAAATTTATTGCTCTCCTTTCACCAGGAGGTCCCAAGGCAGGTTGCAGCAATGATTAAGAATTGTTGTTGTTGAGTTGTTTAGTCGTGTCCACCTCTTCGTGCCCCCATGGACCAGAGCACGCCAGGCACTCCTGTCTTCCACTGCCTCCTGCAGCTTGGTCAGACTCATGCTGGTAGCTTCGAGATCACTGTCCCACCATCTCGTCTTCTGTCGTCCCCTTCTGCTTGTGCCCTCCATCTTTCCCAGCATCAGGGTCTTTTCCAGGGAGTCTTCTCTTCTCATGAGGTGGCCAAAGTATTGGAGCCTCAGCTTCAGGATCTGTCCTTCCAGTGAGCACTCAGGGCTGATTTCCTTCAGAATGGAGACGTTTGATCTTCTTGCAGTCCATGGGACTCTCAAGAGTCTCCTCCAGCACCAGAATTCAAAAGCATCCATTCTTCGGCGATCAGCCTTCTTTATGGTCCAGCTCTCACTTCCATACATCACTACTGGGAAAACCATGGCTTTAACTATACGGACCTTTGTTGGCAAGGTGATGTTGGAAGTGAGTGATGTCTCTGCTTTGTAAGATGCTGTCTAGGTTTGTCATTGCTTAAGCATTAAGATTAAGAATCAGGCACAGTTAAAACACAGCGCCGTCGCAGGGCTTGAAAACACACACTGAAAGCCCGGGGAAAGGGGCACCTGCAGCATTTCCTGAAATCTCTGTTTTCCCTGAAGGATGGAAGTAAAAGGAATTGTTATGGGGTAGAACCTCCTGCTGCCTTGCAGAATAACAATGGGAGCATAGATCCTCAGTCCACCCAAGGAGCTTACAGTTTCAAGGAGAGAGAAGGAAGGATGCCATTAATACACACTTCCAGCATGAGAAACGATTGAACTGCGAACCAGCAGTGCACGTATTAAGAATGTTTGCTGTGGTTGCACCATGCCTTATGATAATGGCAGCGGTGATAACAAAACAGAGAGCTGTCAATGCTCTTTTGTTTGTATACAATTTGTGCCAGCCGCAGTGGCTGCATCCTGCCTCCACTATTGGAGTCCATATTCCTTTGAATGCCAGATCCTGGGAACCACAGCAGGGCCTGATCCTGCTACAGGGCTCTTCCTATGTCCTTACGCTTTGGGGATGCATACTTAGCTCATAGTCTCCTTGAATCGATCACCAAAGCATACACCCATCCCATTTGCACATAGCACTAAGCTGAACCATGGATTTGGGTCTGAACCTGAGCACCTGGTTTGCTTCCCCCAGACAAACCATAAGTGGTAAACCGAGGACAAACCTTGGATACAAACTCATGGCTCCTCTGGAGTGAGACAAACCATAACCCCGGGTTCAGGCACAGCTCTGGTTGGTCTGACAGTTGTGCAACCAGGTGAGGGGTTAAGTGGCTGTGATTTTTCCTGTGATTACCTATAATAAAATCATTTATGGCGATCTTCGCAGCCATTTCAGCACATGGATGAAGACACCTCGTGTTCACACATGCCTTTATGTTTCACAGTCTACAGGTTTTTCCCCCCAATTTTTTTATTTATTTAAAATTTTGAAAATAGTTTTAGAGTCATAGAACTGTAGAGTTGGAAGGGAGCTAAAGTGTTACCTGGTCCAACCCCTTTGCAGTGCAAGAAAGCACAGGTAATTACATCTGCATACTCGCACATTCATGGTTAGTCATGGTTTGACTTAGCCTTAGGGTTATTGCATAGAACACATTATTATTATTACTTCTTTATTTCTACACCTCTTTATATTTTAAAGAAAAAATCTCAAAGCGGTTTACAACCTACATTAAAGTATCAAATAAAACAACCCCAGATAAAACATCACTGAAGAAAGTCAAAGTTAAAATGCACATTTAAAACAGCATAATTAGCAAGAGAATATTTTATTATCATAAGCATAGAACGTATCTGCTGCTGACTGCCTATCCGGTGGTGGTTCATGGTGGTGGTGGAAAGTCAGGCTCGATGACCTGGGTCTGCAGTAAGAGGAAGCCAAGATGTTCTCTGGCTTTTTCAACAGCGGCAGCTTTCGTAGCTGGAGTCAGTCCGGGCTTCACCCTCCCAGGCCAGGTGGAAAATCAAGGCAGGGAGCAGATCTTCCAGGACTCCCAGCCAAAAGAGCTTGCCATCTGTACCAGAGGAATGGACTGAATTGTGTTTGGTGGGGAAAGCCTCCTTGATCTCTCTCGGTGGCCCCAGGGCTCATTCCTATTTTCCTTGGGGAGAGGTGGCGCATGTTTTGCATGATACAGCGCAAAACACCAAAAGGAGGAACAGTCCTTTCAGGTGGTTTCCCATCGCCTGCTCTGCTTCTCCAGAAGGGAGTGGCAGATTTTTCCCAGCTAGATGAGCCTTCTCCTGATTTTATTTTTGATTTGTGCTCTGTTTGAGCTGCCAAACCATGTTCCCCCGCTCCTTTGCGGCTCAGTTGGCATCTCAGCTCTCTCTCGGGGGCTTTTCCCAGTGAGTGGAAGGTGCTGATACGTGGCAAACTCAGCCAACCGTCACTACATTTCCAACATGAGATTGTCTCTGGCTGTGGAAGACGAGTCGGATGAATCTTTGGAGAAGCTCCTCCCAAATATAGTTTGCTGGGATTTCGGGATTAGTATCCCCCTGGTAAGACTTTTTGTTTTGTTTGGCCTCTAACTCTTCCCGTCACCTTTGCTAGCTGCAAGTATTCTACCATTAGTGTTTGCCAGTCTGATATATTAGGTCTTCAGATACCTGAAGAAGTATCTGAAGAAGGTGCTACTGGAAGGAATAGTTCTGCAAAGCCATTTCCCCAAATGTAACACATTATTGCATGCTCTTTTCACTAACACATACGTTTTGTCCCCTAGCAAGTGCATTTTCCTGTGCCCTCCTTAGCCAGAGAACAGCACTGCAAGATATAAAAGGTAAAGGGACCCCTGACCATTAGGTCCAGTCGTGGCCGACACTGGGGTTGCGGCACTCATCTCGCTTTACTAGCTAAGGAAGCCGGCGTACAGCTTCCGGGTCACGTGGCCAGCAGGACTAAGCCTCTTCTGGCGAACCAGAGCAGCAGTTGGCGGTTCGAATCCCTGCGACGGGGTGAGCTCCCGCTGCTCGGTCCCAGCTCCTGCCAACCTAGCAGTTCGAAAGCACGAAGTGCAAGTAGATAAATAGGTACCGCTCCGGCGGGAAGGTAAACGGCGTTTCTGTGCGCTGCTCTGGTTTGCCAGAAAGTGGCTTAGTCATGCTGGCCACATGACCCGGAAGCTGTACGCCGGCTCCCTCGGCCAGTAAAGCGAGATGAGCACCGTAACCCCAGAGTCGGTCACAACTGGACCTAATGGTCAGGGGTCCCTTTACCTTTACCTATATCTTGCAGTAGGGACGCGGGTGGTGCTGTGGGTTAAACCACAGAGCCTAGGACTTGCTGATCCTTAGCCAGTAAAGCGAGATGAGTGCCGCAACCCCAGTGTCGGCCACGACTGGACCTAATGGTCAGGGGTCCCTTTACCTTTTATATCTTGCAGTGCTGTTCTCTGGCTAAGGAGGGCACAGGAAAATGCACTTGCTAGGGGACAAAATGTATGTGTTAGTGAAAAGAGCATGCAATAATGCGTTACATTTGGGGGAAATGGCTTTGCAGAACTATTCCTTCCAGTAGCACCTTCTTCAGATACTTCTTCAGGTATCTGAAGACCTAATATATCAGACTGGCAAACACTAATGGTAGAATACTTGCAGCTAGCAAAGGTGACGGGAAGAGTTAGAGGCCAAACAAAACAAAAAGTCCACAAGGAATGGAGAATATTTAAAGAATATTTGAAGAACCATGGTATAAAGGGTAATCTCCTGGCAGACTTAGACTGAGCCTTGTAGTCTATTGTGTAATTGACAATTTACATAGAAATACGATAAAAAAAATAGAAGAAATAAGTAACTGTGCGATAAAAGTGTATTTAACAGATAACATACAATGAGAATGTTTGGAAGTGTATGCACACGAAAGCTCATGCCAATAACAAACTTAGTTGGTCTCTAAGGTGCTACTGGAAGGAATTTTTTTATTTTGTTTCGACTATGGCAGACCAACATGGCTACCTACCTACATCTTGCAGAAATATGTGTTGAATGGTCTCTTTAAATGTGAAGGTTCATTATTGTTCCACATATTTCTTTAAGGGCCAGAGCAAATAGCGAGACCCAGTTTTACAGCTGTGAAACAGTATAGCAGGTGCTGCTAAGTTGTGTTAATTAAGTTGTGTCAGCAATTGGGTATAGTATATAAAGAGCAGCACCTAGCTTTCTCAGTACCCTGGTGGATGGGTTGGGTCTTGCTTGCTGAGATATTTAGTGTAAAAGGAGTTTTTGTTTTTGTTATTAAAACCTTGATAAAGTTATTTTTGAGTTCCTTGTAATGCGTGGTCTCCCCAGCAAGCTTTCTGCAGCGCAACTAAACTGCAAATAGCCAACAGGCAACCCCCTGTTTTAGGGGCTACTGATATGTGCACAATAGCTCACAGCACCGATCCCGGAAGTAACCTGGAAATGTCATAAAAGGTGTTTCTAAAAGGGCAAAGCAGGGGAGGGATGGGCTGGCACGGGGTGCTTTCAGACTGTTTCAGTTGCATGCGATTTCACACAGGCTCGCAATGACCCGGAATGCAACCTGCAAGCAAATCTGGGGTTGCCTGTATATTAGGCATAACTGGGCATACCACAAAATATATGTATCAGCAGAAATCCACATTCTCAGTGGTACTCACTTTCAAGTAGATTTTTGCAGGACCAATGCAATGAACGTACTTATGCATGAGCAAACCCTTCTGAGCTCTGAGACACCAGCTTCTTGGTGCTTAGGATTGCAGTCTGAATTAAAGGTACAAACGACACAGGAGATGAATAAAAATGAAGGCTCAGTGGTTTCCCCGAGGCATCTGGTATCTGGGCAGGCGGCCGGTCCCTTTCCTAAGGTGCAGGGTAGAGGACCAAAGATCTGATTCTCGCTCTGTCGCTTGCGGTTGCTTTTAGACAGAATGCACTGTCAGAAGACCCTGGCAAAGTCTTAATGCACATGGACCTATCTGAATTGCCAGCAGGGCACTGAAGGTCTCAAGGAGGAGGACGAGGAATCTTGCCAACTTTCTTACGGTTTACGAAAGCGCCCTCAGCTCGTCAATTGGTGCTGGCTCTCTCAAGGCCGCCAGGTGAGTGGCTTGATCTCTGAAGGTTTTGTGATTTACGGATACTGGGTTGTGCTGGGCAAAGGACAGGACAGGTAGCCGTGTTGGCTCAAGAAAAACGCCAGATCCATCGTCAGGCAAGGCTTTAATTAGACCTGCCAAATGTCACATAATAACATTTCAACACTGTTTTTAACACTTTTCCGAGCTCTTAAGGCTAGAACTCGTGGACTTCCAGAAACGCTGAATGTTGGAAGGTTTGGGATCAGGGCCAGATTTAGGTTTGATGAGATCCTAAGCTACTGAAGGTCATGGGGCCCTTTATATGTCCAGCTGTCCTTTGCCAACAACAAATTGTCCCTGTTTCTTGTGTTGAATATATGCTATATGGTAATTTATGGACCTCATAGGTATCTCAAGCCATTTGCACATGTTGCCCTGCAACCAGTCCATGCAGAATGTAGGCACCCTATATATTGTTGTTGTTTAGTCGTTTAGTTGTGTTCACCTCTTCGTGACCCCCTGGACCAGAGCACACCAGGCACTCCTGTCTTCCACTGCCTCCCGCAGTTTGGTCAAACTCATGCTGGGAGCTTTGAGAACACTGTCCCACCATCTCGTCCTCTGTCGTCCCCTTCTCCTTGTGCCCTCCATCTTTCCCAACATCAGGGTCTTCTCCTGGGAGTCTTCTCTTCTCCTGAGGTGGCCAAAGTCTTGGAGCCTCAGCTTCAGGATCTGTCCTTCCAGTGAGCACCCTACATATAGAAAGGAGCAAACCAGTGATATTTGAGGGAGCAGGCTAGCAGGCGGGGCCCATGACTCACATCATAGGAGCCAACACAACACAAAACACTGTTTCTGCATGTAGGTTTTATTTTATTTGTTTTTTATATTTTGGAAATGTACATTCAGTTTTTCCCCCCTTTAGTTTTTTTGGGGGCCCCTAAGAGAGTGGGGCCCTAAGCTAGAGCTTGTTTAGCTTATACGTAAATCTGGCACTGCTCAGTACAGATGAAAGGAGGGACGCCTTCACGCAGCGCCTAACTCCCTCCCACAGGAGTCTGAGATGGCCACCCACCCATGGAATCGTAGAATTGTACAGTTGGAAGGGATCCTGAGGGTCATCTAGCCCAACCCCCCTGCAATGCAGGAATAAGAGGATTGGACAAATCCATGGGGCAGGAGAGGGCTATCAATGGTTACTACAGTCAGGGCCATCTTAAGCATATTCAGTGCCGTGGTGAAAGATTCTTCCAGCGCCCCCCCCCGGAAGCTCCAAAACAAGGGAGGGGCAGTAGAAAATGTCCTCTGCCTTTCCCAACACCCTGATCCATGGCATGGCGATCCAGCAGGAGAACGTGCTGGCAGACATGCTCTACGGCATCAGGGCTCCTGAGAAGGCCGGCTGGGAAGGCTGCACACTGCCTTTTGCTAGGAAGCAGAAGGAGGACAACGACCTCTGCGTGGATTGCTCTCCTCCTGTAAAGGCTTGGGAAGGAAGCTGCAAGCCCGCCTGCCTGCCATATAGAAGAAGAAGAAGAAGAGGAGTTTGGATTTGATATCCCGCCTTTCACTCCCTTTAAGGAGTCTCAAAGCGGCTAACATTCTCCTTTCCCTTCCTCCCCCACAACAAACACTCTGTGAGGTGAGTGGGGCTGAGAGACTTCAAAGAAGTGTGACTGGCCCAAGGTCACCCAGCAGCTGCATGTGGAGGAGCGGAGACGCGAACCCGGTTCCCCAGATTACGAGACTACCGCTCTTAACCACTACACCATACTGGCTCTCAGTTGGCGGGGCACAGCTGGTGGGCGTTCAGGGAAAGGGGAGGCCTCCGGCAAAGCCGCGCAGCTCCCTCACTCGCTGGGGCGCCCCTGAGAGGCCGGCGCCCTGGCGCAACGAACCATTAACACCAATGGCAAAGACGGCTTTGACCACAGTTGCAGGCACTGTGGGAATAGGATGCTGGATGAGATTCCTGCATTTCGGGGGTGGACTGGATGACCTTTGGGGGTCCCTTTCAACTCTGATTCTATGACTAGATGGGCCATGGGCCTGATCCAGAGGGCTCTTCTTATGTTTTCGACGTTGAAACAAGTGGGAAGACAGTAGGAGGAAACAAATGTGGTTGATATTGTAGCCGCAGAGTTTTCATTCCGTCTCAGGGTATGTGGGAGGTGGTAGCAGATGATGAGATTAAGTTGCACCATGGGGGTGCCAGGGAGCCTCTGGGCTGCAACACAGGCTTGCTGGGACAAAGAAAATGACAGAGGTCGATCACTTTTGAAACTATAACACCTAGCTGTCCCTTGGATCTTAGGCAGAAGGCACAGGTCATCTGGAAGATTGAGAACAGAAGCAAAAGTGAAACTAGACAACATTTATAGTAACAAAGCTGGAAATGAATTTTAGACCGCATACTAGGGCGACCGCATACTGGGCAATATGGCCAGTCTTCAATATGGCGTTATATCAGCAGCCAAACATTGCAATACATTAGTCCTTGCAGTTACGTAAACTTCAGGATACGAAAGTGGCAAACCTGGAAGTATTTGACTGAGTTTCTCCCCGCGCACATGCGTAGAAGCGGTCCTCAGGCTGTAGAAACCTCAGGATCCGACCAAACCTCCAGAACGGATCCCATCCGCAACTGGAGGTACTACTGTATATTGATATACCATGATATCCGAAATAAGGAAGGAACTATGCAGAGGTGAACAGGCAAACGTCCTGGCAACTGCTACTAAACCGGATGAATGACAGTATTATCAATCATCACACACTCAGTTTCATCAGCAGGGAAGCCAGAATGCATCCCAACAGGACTTTTGGTTTTGGACTTGGCTATCAAACGGTGATATTTGGATTCATCAGGTTCATGCAGGCAATGAAGAGCACATCCTTCCACCATGGTTAGCTGATTTCTGATTTCCACTTTTTATATGGTTCATATTTTTAGGTATGGTTATTCTGAGCCACTTTGATTTTTTCCTTTTTGATGAATTAGCAGTATATGAATATTTTTCTATAAATAAGACTGATAAAGTGGGAAACTTAAATGGACAGATTAGCCCATCGCTCACTTGTCGTTCAGATTATGCCTGCAAATCTATGTATCCTTTCATAGCCTTGGATGCTGGGTAGGGATGGGAGCAGTTTGGTTCAGTTGGCATTTCAGGGTGAATCTTTAAATTCGGTGCTTTCCAAAGCAACAGGCAATCCAAAACTTGGCTGCCTTTCAAAATTTGCACATATTGGAATTCTGCCATGCAAAATGCATGTATTAGGGGAAAACTGAGCTTAGCAAGAGCTATTTTAGTGCAAATAACACCTGGAAACGTTTGTGTTTATGTCATGAAATTTATATGCTGCTTGAATGTGGAAAAGCAAGAAAACCCTCAAAGTAGTTGAAACGCATTACATTTGGGGAAATTCCTTGCAAAAATATGCACATTGGTCAAAACTGCGTGCAAGGATGTGCTCATTAGGAGAAATTTGCCCTGAAATGCTGCTGAAATTTCCATGAGGGTTTTCTCTCGCTAAAGAAATTGCAGATTGTTGCAGCGGGGTGGAGAACTGAATTTAATGTTGGAAACATGGCAGACTGAGGGAGCCGTGATGGACGAGCCCTTTCCTTCCTTGTACGGAATGGCCCTCTGCATTTTTCTGGGGCCTTAATACGACTCTGACTCACAGGCTCCAGTGGATGGCTACCTTGAGCTGGCCTGGCTTGTCCTCGGCTCCTGAATGCTCCCAGAACTACCTAGGCAGGGCATGGGAAAAAGCACCACACGATCCCCGCAGTGCCAACACGCTCCTCTCCAAATGGTCCACACCCTTCCGATTGCTGCAGACAGTTTTCCCCCTCCTTACCCGTTTGCTTTCCTGACAGCCGTGTGAATTTCTTCAATGCAAATCCTCTGGCGGGATGTTCTGTGCTCTGCCTTTTGGCGCTTGTCCCTGTTGGATTCTCTGTTGATTTATGGATTCCGTTTGTCGGAGAGCAGAAATCGGAAGGCCGTTCCTCCCCCTCGTGGCGGGAGAAGCATCCTTGCTGTACCCAGACCTTCCTAGAGAAGTTTTCTGTTCTGAACGCCTCATCTTTCCTTCTGAATGTGACTGTTGACCCAACTTGGTGCCTCAACTCTTCAGCTGTGGCTCGCGATCTACAAGCAAGTAACTAGAACCGTGGGCTCCCATTGAAGCTGAATTTTGGAAGATTCAGGACAGACAGAATGAAAGGTCTTCTTCACGCAGCAGGAGGCAATGTTGGCCACCAACCTAGATGGTTTAAAAAGCTTTTCACAGAGGTGTGGTTCCTTGGACATGACACTGTATAGCTTCCTGGCCAACAGCACAGAGTGAAAGCTCATTAAATAACCGAGATCATCCAATCCCTCAGCAAACAATTTAGGAGGAAGGCTTGACAAATAGGTCATTGGGAAGCACCTCTCAGATCTCACGAAAATGATTGACCCATGCCTGGGTTATAGTGCTTTAGGCCATTTGAGAAGTCCCACCCAAGGAGGGGGGGAAATGTGGATGTAGAAAACCAAGATGTCAGGGACAGCTTCCCCCCTGAGTTGCTGACTTTCTGCATGCAAGGAATTTTTTATTTGTGGGATGGAGCATTGGTTTGAACTAGTTCACACCCTGTTTTAGTGACGACCCAACTGCTTAGAACTCCTTGTTCACACTCAGCGCCCGGCCAGAGGACAGACAACTTGACGGAGAACAGCAGACGATAAAGAGTTTTCCAAACATGGGCATGAGAAAGAAGAATGTTGCAAGCGTTTCATATTAAAGGAATTGTGGGCGAAATCTGAAAAAAAGAAGAAAAAGAGGTTTTGAGTGTGTGTCCATGTGCCCCTCCCTCTCCCCCTCCTAGAGAGCTTCTGACTTTTGCAAAATAGAAGCAAAACCAGCCCCAAACAGAAGATAAAGTCAAACTGAAAACCACAGACCCAAAAAACCCCCTTGAGACAACATGTTTTTGGTGCTGTGAGTGCATGCCCGAGAAACTGGGTTAGGCGGGTGTGATAATTTGGTTGTTTTTGCTCGGGAGGCCTGGAGGAATACAGCGTGCGGTTATGTTACTAATCCTGATACCAAGAAGGTTGCCTGATTGTTGAGATTAAAGAGCATTTAAGATGAATGTCAGAGGCACTTGAGTTGCAATTCTGCCTTAATCCCGAGGAGATTAAGCTCAGCGGCAAAGCGCAAGTTTTGCAGGCAGAAGGGCTCAGCCGCCACCTTTGGCATTGCTAGCTGAAAGGTCTGTGGAAGCATAGAATCACAGAAACGCAGAGTTGGAAGAGACCCCCTGGGATCATCTAGTCTATTCCCCTGCAATGCAGGAATCTCAGTTATAGCATCCATGACAGATGGCCGCCCAACCTCTGCTTGAAAACCTCCAAGGAAGGAGAGTCCACAACCTCCCGATGGAATCCATTCTGAACAGTTCTTACTGTCAGAAAGTTTCCCCTGAATTTTAGTTGGAATCTCCTTCTTTGTCCTACCCTCCAGAGCAGTTTGTTCCCTCTTCCATGTGACAGCCCTTCAGATATTTGAAAATGGTTCTCATATCTCCTCTCAGTCCCCTTTTCCCCAGGCTAAACATACCCAGCTCCTTCAACAGTTCCTCATCAGGCTTGCTTTCCAGACCCTTGATCGTCTCGGTCTCCCTCCTCTGCACACCTTCCAGCTTGTCAACTTCCTTCTTAAATTGTGGTGCCCAGAATTGGACACAGGACTCCAGATGTGTTTCCTAGATGCCAAAGACCAAAGGAGGCAGTGCTGGTGGGCCAGATCCCCCTAAGATCTGACTTGCAGTTTCATAACCTTTTAGAAGGAGGCTGAGACTCATTGGGAGAGCAGATGTGAGCACCTTCTCTTAAAGGGACCTCAGGCAGTTAGATAAGGTGGTGGAAGTAAACTCTGCGTCGGTTGTTCCCAAACATTTCTGAGCTGCTGTCTGCTGGGTTCCCTAAACTCACCCCCAGTTTCCCCTGTCCTAGAAAAAGCAGTATTCAAAACAGTGGTTTTTGCACAGCCCCTTATCCAGCAGCCGATTCCTATGTTCTTTATAAAGACCTCTGAGTCTCCATTTTGGCTTCCGGGATCTTTCGAAGCACTTAACTCAACTGTATTTGTGAACTTCGTAAACCACAACAGCAACACGCCCCCCCCCCCCCCCCGGCTGAGTGCTTTCACTTGGTTTCCACATGGTGGCTGTAACGTTTAAATAGGGAAGCTTCAAATATCCACATCTCTGGTGATTGTGAAGCAAACAAGGCACATTTGCTTGTTGCAGATAAATACTCCAAGGAGCTTTGGGAAAATATGTGTGTGTGTGGTTTCCAGCAACTGGTGTTCAGAAATATGGCTGCCTCTGTCTGCGGTTTATACTTTTGCAAAGGAAAAGAGCACAGGGCAGTAAGCCAGAAACTACCTTGGAAGGTTGAAGAGCAACGATGAAAGCAACTTACTTGCAAACGCTGGCCAGATGGGGTCACACGGACTTTGGGAAGATGAGAGAAGCGTGCGAGGCTTCGAGCGACCTTTCACGTTAACCCTCCCTTAGCCGACAGCATTGCAGGAGTTTAAAAAATGGGGTTTAAAAGCCAGGAGGGTCCTCGGAGCTCAAGTAGTCAAACTGCCCAGTCAGTGCAGGGGTCTTGCAACTGCAGCCTCCTCCCAGATAGATGACTGACCAATGTCTGTTTAAATACTTGTATCGAAGGAGAGCAGGCCACCCAATGATGTCAATCATGTATCTTTCCGGGGAGAAGTCTGTTGCGCTTGAATCCTGCATGCAGGTTTCCTACAGGCCCTTGGGAGAACAGTCTGCCATTCTGGCCTGGTCCGGCAGGCTCGTCTTATCTTCTTCCATCCTCAAAATTTTGCTGCAATCTCTTTCCCCCAATGTTTCCACCTCCTGGTTTCTCCCCTGTCTTCCAGAGCGATAGTCACCCTGTTCCTTCTTCCACATTGCAAGCCTTATGATATTTCAAGATGGCAGCTCTCAGGTCTCCTCCTGAGAAACAGGAGGAGCTGTTTCCACACACTTCCACGCCTTCCACACTGGACTTGGTTCATCGAAGCTTCTCCAATTCGAACCCACGTCCTCTTTTAGCTGTGTGCTCTGAGCAGGCCAGGGGGAAAAGAACATACCCAATGGTTTAAAACAGAGGCGGGGGTCTCGCAACGGAGGAAAATACCCCGGGTCTTCCTGTGTTCTTTGCCTCCCCGGTGCTTACAGGTCTCTGCTGGCTGAGATCCGCCTGCTGTCTAATTTCTTCTCTTGCAAGCAGGTGTCGTAATTACATGGTTGTAACAGCAGCAGCGGAGGGGGTGGAACCCGGTTACCGGATCAAATGTACGCTCGAGGGCTTCCTTCATCCGGATCCTTGACAGTCCCCATTAAATCTGAATATCCACTGGCAGTCTTTGATAGGTCTGCTTGCAACTTTGCAGCCTCCTTGGGGCAGGGGACCTGGCTATCTCCCTGCACACCTGGCAGGCAGGTGCTGTCGGTGATGGTGTTAAATAGCGCCCCTGTGTGGTAGGCCGGTAGCTCAGCAGAAGGGGTTCAGCTGTTGTCTGTCCACATGCTCAATAATGACATTTGTGGTGAAGCCTGGAGATGGGAATATAAGTATCATGTGACATGAATATAGGTATCAGTTCCGCTGATCAAAGCAACCAAGTGGGTGCATATGGGACAAGGTGATCTAGCATGTAGACTGGCCCCAAGTTACAATCTTAGAATACAGTGGTACCTTGGGTTACAGACACTTGAGGTTACAAATGCTTCAGGTTACAGACTCTGCTAACCCAGAAATAGTACCTCGGGTTAAGAACTTTGCTTCAGGATGAGAACAGAAATCGTGCTCTGTCGGCAGGGCAGCAGTGGGAGGCCCCAATTAGCTAAAGTATTGCTTCAGGTTAAGAACAGTTTCAGGTTAAGAACGGACCTCCGGAACGAATTAAGTTCTTAACCCGAGGTACTACTGTCATAGAATTGTACGTCTAGTCCAGCCTCCTGAAATTGAGGGAGTTTGGTATGTTTAGCCTGGAAAAGAGAAGACTGAGAGGCGATATGATCGGCATCTTCAAATATCTCAAGGGCTGTCACATGGAAGAAGGAGCAAGTTTGTTTTCTCCTGCTCCAGAGGGCATTGCAGGGTGTTGGACTAGATGACTGGATGTCCATGGAGGCGCAGGTCCAGGGCAACTGTCTATCAGCTCCATCTGGTACGCAGGCTAAGACCCTCCCTGCCCACTGTCTGTCTGGCCAGAGTGGTGCATGCTCTAGTTATCGCCCGCTTGGACTATTGCAATGTGCACCACGTGGGGCTACCTTTGAAGGTGACCCAGAAACTGCAACTAATCCAGAATGCGGCAGCTAGACTGGTGACTGGCAGCAGCTGCCGAGACCACATAACACCGGTCCTGAAAGACCTACAATGGCTCTCAGTACGTTTCTGAGCACAATTCAAAGTGTTGGTTCTGACCTTGAAAGCCCTAAACGGCCTCGGTCCAGTATACCTGAAGGAGCGTCTCCACCCCCATCGTTCAACCCAGACACTGAGGTCCAGCTCCGAGGGTCTTCTGGCGGTTCCCTTACTGCAAGAAGTGAGGTTACAGGGAACCAGGCAGAGGGCCTTCTCGGTAGTGGCGCCTGCCCTGTGGAATGCCCTCCTGTCAGACGTCAAGGAAATAAGCAACTATCTGACTTTTAGAAGACATCTGAAGGCAGCCCTGTTTAGGGAAGTTTTTAATGTTTGATATTTCATTCTGTTTAATATTCTGTTGGGAGTAGCCCAGAGTGGCTAGGTATAAAATTATTATTATTATTATGACTCTTAGGGTCCCTTCCAACTCTACAATTCTATTCCATGAATGCAGGAATCACAGCTAAAAAATCCCCGACAGATGACCGTTCAACCTCTGCTTAAAAACCTCCAAGGAGAGTCCACCACCTCCCAAAGGAGTCTGTTCTGCTGCCGAACTGCTCTTCCCGCCAGAAAGTTCTTCCTAACGTTTAGTCGGAGTCTCCTTCCTTGCTGTTTGGAGCCATTGGTTTGGGTCCTCCCCTCCGGGGCAGGAGAAAACAAGCTTACTCCCTCTTCCATATGACAGCCCTTAAAATATTTGAAGATGGCTAGCGTATCTCCTCTCAGTCCCCTATTTCCCATGTGAAACATACCCAACTCCTTTGGAAAGAGCAATACCCGTATGAAGAATGTGATTTTGTGATGATGTGATATCTATGCTAGAATTGGACGGTCCCGTTCTTGCATGTGGATGAGGCCTGGATGAAAGATGTGGCTAAGCTCTGGAGTTGGGACTTTTCGGGAAGTGAGACGTGTGGCAGACCAACTCCTCCAGGGACAAATGTACCCCCAGGAGCACCCCACAGCATTTCTGATTCCCTTTTTCTTTAATCAACAGTGTTTCTGACGTCCAGCCTTCGTAGCTGGACCAGGGGGCGGGCACGGGTTTTGTTTTCCCTGCGCAGCCCCTGCTAATAAGAGAGTCGCGTTTGATTTGGTTATTTCAGCTAATTGCGAGGCACCAGGAGAGGCTGCCTTTCCACAGTAATTATCCGGGATAAAAAGAAGAAAATTGCACCTATTACCAATTTGCTTCCTCACTCCTACTGGGCCTTGATTTGCAGAGCCCGAGAGACTAATGCGGTTGCCAGCAGTTTTCATTATGAATCGTGTCAATTTAAAAGGGACTGTAAAAGCCGCCCTCTCCATGACTCCAAGCCTGGCAGGAGTAATTTTGTGCAGTGCTCCAGCGAAGGCTAGGGATTGG